ACACATTGTATGTGTGTGTGTGTGTATATATATACACATAAAACTAGTTATGGATTGGAAATTTTTCCACTTGTGTTGTGTTTATTTGTGGACTACCACTTTGCTGAAACACAAACACAAATATTGATGTGAAACAGTAAGACATGCAAAAAAAGCTGGCATTTGATGCAAGGAAAGGGGAATCTAACTTTAGAATCTGTGCATTGTGTGGTTGACTGGACCAACTTTATAGTTTCTAACCTCCACAATTCAAGTTAGTGTTGAGTCACCTTTCAAAGATGTTAGCATCTTGATCAAATACGCAAACAGATTAGAAGTTAAATCTGAGCTGTTTGTGGTATAAAAAACAATCAAAGTTGTGGTCATTATCTGTCTATGTATGTGTATATATATATATATATATATATATCTACATATGCACTAGAAGAAGATTTGAGATATGCTGGAAGCAAATTTTTAAAGAATCTAGGATTATGCTAATACATAAGTTGCAATAACTTGAATTATGAAATATTAAAAACATAAAATTTGCAGTTCTAAAAGTGTACAGTAAGAACCAAAGACAATAATTTATTTTCATGGATGGTGGGTACCAAAGATCAGAGTCTTAAGTTTTTAATTCATTTTTTTGAAGTTGAATATTCCTTTTGCCTGATTTCCTACCAATTTGGTCTGTATGAAAACTTTAAATGGTAAGGCTAAATATCTTTTTGAGGGTCCTTGAGCACACCAACAATAAAAAAGTATTAAAAAAATATTTTAAAGCATAATACCAGCAACTTGGGAATATAATGGCAAACAAAAAAATAATAAACAATACTAGTAACAATAATAATAAAACCACAGCCTCATTAACTATGTTAAATAAAATTACTCAAACATGTTAAAAACATATCAAATTTTCTTGTTGACATTTTTAATTATAAATATAGAATATACATGTTGCAAATTTGTGTCTTTATCTGCCATATATATATATATATATATATAAGTATATATCTCTGTGTGTCTACATTAACAGTGTTTAATCATTGAATAGCATGATTTTGAGGATTTTTTTTAAAAAAACATCCATTCATGTTGTCACCCATTTAAAATTACTCATTGAATGTGAACTCATTCTAACCATGTTCCTGAAACACCACTTCAATGTTGGCCTATCATACAATTGGTCTTAAGTCCATCAATAAAATGCAACCCACTTTGATGGAAGATTGTGGTGGGGGAACTTGAAATGGGACTCACCCATGCATCAGGCATTAATCCATCCATTAAAAGCAATAATTTAGATGTTCTCACATCAAATGCCATTTCAAAAAATGTGTTTCAAAATTTGATTCTGTTCTTTACCAAAAACAATTCAGACAAAACCTAATAATTGAGTAGCAAAATATCATTCAAGAGAAAGGACCCCAGAGTTATTTAAAGGACATAAAGACCTTTTAAAAGTATCTATACCCTAAATTTAGATTAAACAGCTAAATCATCATTTGTTGGCTTCTGAAAAGGTAGAACCCAGACATGGATCAAAGGTTACATTACTTCCCAGAGAGGCTTTGAAGTTGCACTATTATTACTCACATTGGGAAACAACTCAGCCATGGGGCTTGAATTGGCAACTGGGTCCAAGTAGGGAATGGACGATTTGAGCTTATGATCCATGATATCACACTAATCTATGTCTGGGTTCCGCTTGATAATTGAGGGTGTGGGTCTGTAAAGATGTAGCTGTTGGAGACATTGTAGCATCACAAAGTGCATTATTGTGCCCTAATTTTAATGTGTGGTTGGGGGCTCCAATGGTGAGGTGTTCAATGCAGCTCATGGGCCCATTCCTGCTTCTCACAGGTTTACTGCAAAATTTCTTTGTTCACTTTTTGGTGAGGGACAGTAGTTTGTGTCAAGTGAAGGTTTTTTATCATCTAAAGTATAAAAGAAATAAAAAAAACACACATACAGACAGACATACAAAAAGAATAACAAAGTTACTTTGTGTGTGTGTGTGTGTGTATATATATATATTTATATATAGAAACTAAAACAAAGCTGTTCAGATTTTGGGTGCAGTTGTTTAATATTATGGAAAGATTCATTCATTCACTCACCCAAGTTCAGGCTCAGATAAAGCGTGAAGCTTGTTAAAGTGCAGAGATATCTTATTTTTGCAAAACAACAAATAAACCTCCACATTTGGTCAAGTTGAAGGATGAAATAGTTCTCATTTGCTGTTGAAAGAAAAATATGAAAAGATTTTTTTTGGGTTCTCTGTAAGTGTAATTTTATTTCTTCCTCGAAAATCATTTTTGAGAAAGGTGGTGCAACTTGTAATGAAGCCTGGTTTTTTGGTTCCATGAATCAATTGATAAATATATAATGTCCATATATATATATATATATATGTGTGTGTGTGTGTGTGTGTGTGTAAATGTGTGCATGGACACACGTTTTTAAGAAATATCTGGAGTGGCCTTGGTGGTAATCACACAATATATATATATATATATATATATATATATATATATATATATATATATATATATATATAATCATTTTAAAGGTAAAGTAATGGCAACAATAACTACACAAAAATTGATGACCAACATGAGAGCAGGGACAACCACCAAGTGTTTTTAAAAAAATTAGTAACAACAAACAAGAAAAACCTTATTTCTGCACAACATACAATCCAAAGGTGGCCACGTTCTCAAGGACCTAGACCCCCTCATAAAACCCCTTGTCTGACCCCCCATAAACAACAACCTTTCAACTTGAAGACTTGCCCATACTCCCACTCTTGGACTTTGAAGGGTCTCTCTCTCATTCCAAGTCCATACAATTGATAGGAAAAAAAAGAAAAAAAAGAAGAAGTAAAAATACACACAACAATCAACAACGACAATGCAACAACCATAGAAAATTACCTGCAGAACCAGACTTGAAACCAGATATGATTCCATCTGGGCGGGCAGACCGAGGCCAGGACGGGGGTCCATGATTGAAAGGACACCTGGAAAGGCCACAGCGAGGGCAGCATGGTCAAATGTGGTGACCCAGAATCCCCACAGAAAAACAAACATGCACACACAAAAAAACAATCAACAGAAGGGCACAAAATAGCTGCAGCGTTACTGGGTTCCCCCAAACCCTAATCCGGTGAGCTTGCTTCTGCTTGCACCGACGCTTGCCTGCACCGCCTCGAGCTCACGAGCGGTGGTACTAACAGATTGCCTCACATAAGAGGCTTAAACCAAGTTTAGGGTCTGAGGGAACCCAAGTTGTGAGTTTTCGAACGGGGTCGTTGTTTTTGCGCGTGACCAGTTGCGGGGGAACTCGCATTCGCTCCCCGTTTTTTTGGGTCACCGAGGTGGGGTGAATGACGACGACGTGGGTTTTAGGGACCTGCCAACGGTGAAATTGTGTTGAACGGACCCTGCGACCGGTCGTTGAGCATCTACGAAACCGCGCCTGTTGTTGTGCGCGAACGGAGGTGTTTCCCGTCTGTTGGGCCTCATGGCCGTGGTCTTACAAAAAAGGAGGGAGAGGTATAATTAGCACCTTTGTGCCTCAGTTTAGTGCGAATTGCTCCAATGTCTCATGTTTCTGACGGTCCAGATGTATTTGCTGAGGCTGACCTCTGCGATTCACTTCGGGGTGGAGTAGGTGGATTTTAGGGTGGGAGGAGATACTTCCAGGGCTTGTAATGGCCTGGAAGGGTAGAAAATAGACGAGGTGGTGATACAACTCATTGAATGAGAATGACTTTAGTGGCTTATTGGGGTGCGATCTGCAAGGCGACGGGAGAGTGAGTCTTCGCTGCGACACAAAGACGTGTCATCAAGGACGGTTGAATTTTGTGATAACGCAGGGGAAAAATGAACCGACACTTGGTGGACCTGTGGCCACAAGACGTAACTAATCAGAGGGTGGGCACGTCATACGCCAGTTATTGAAAATTTAATTCTAAAGAAAAGTTTACCCATGTCTTGAATTTCAGACATCTTCCACCTCAGTCCATGTCATTGAAATATCGCGGATAAGATGTTTACTACCAGGGTCGATGTACTGCTAGACTGGTGTTGTTGTTTTAAGCGATGTGATGCGTGTGACGTTTGCATGCTAGAGTTATGACATACGACAGCGATGACGAGTTTGAACAAACTGGAGTTTGAGTTGATCTGAACACCTTCCATGGCATGTGCGCTTTTAACGGTCATCCTGGACTGCAGCTCCGAGCTGCAAGCTGTGCCGGTCACCAAGGAGATTACTGCGGGAGGTGGCAACGTGGAGGCCATTGATAACACGCTTGCATCACGAATCCGCAAATACGTAATGGGGGTTTTAACTGCTGCAGAAAGCGCCGCATATCGCTCGGTCTTTCCCACAACGCCAATGTTTGCAGAGCGGCAAATCCATGCGTCCTTTTCTGCGTTACCACCTCAAAAAAGAGCCAGCAAAAGCTGTGGCGTACCCTCATTTTCAAATATCTTAGAATTTCTCCACGTGGGCTAAACCCCCAATAATTTAATGAGTTCAAGCTCCCCCGGAAGCTGTGATAGTCACCGAATCTGGCCAGGATTTCACAATATATGTGGAGAAAATAAGCCCCAGGAAAAGACCGACTGAGTCGCTCCATCTTAAGTTCTGAAAATTCAGGTTGATTACAAATCCAAGACCCTCGGGAACCGTCTCATTAATCGTCAAAAGGTCGCAGCTACTTCTCACAACTCCAAGGATCATCTGAGAATATTTCAACAGGGGGAGATGAATGATTTTCCGCCAAATTGTGGGAATTATTATTGCATAATTTTCGCAGCATTTTGGCATTGTTTTCAGTAAATAAGCCAGAAATGCAAGCCCGTGAACAGCTCTCGGTGGTTTCAAGGTTGCATGGTGGGCTCTGACGAACCTATTCTGGGACAGGAGCTAGGAAAAAGAAAGATTTAACGAGCTGGCAGTGGGAAGGGCCTTTCCGAAAGCTTTGAGCACCTGGAAGGCTGGATGTTTGATAGGTTACCCTTTTTGGCTGCTCGCGTGTCTGCCAGTTGCGGTTGCGCTGCCATTTTACGCACGCATGGGTATCAATGACTCCCACTGATGACACACAATGATCGCGAGCTCGAGCGAACTGAAGCCTTTCATGGTTTCTGGACGTGAGGGCAGAATGTCAACCTCTGGAATGTGCGAGTGCGTCTTCAAGTGAGCCCCCGGTTAAGTATAGGTGGGGGCGTCATGGTGGAGAGCCTTTTTAACCTGAATCGCTGCTTGTGTATGTTGGCCGAGGCGCCGCCGCAGGATGGGATTTTAGCGTAAACTAGCCTGCAAGGGCTGTCGAGGATTTTATCTAGAAAAGTCGTTGGTGTGTTCGAGGACGAGGTGTTGGCTGCGCTAGTAGTGGATTCTAGTGACGCGGCAGGTTTTGAAGCCCAGGTGGTAGTTGTGCGCAGTGGCCATGACTTGTTAGCTCGGTTGGTTAGGGTGGATGTGACGATAGTTGATGGATTGTTGTGGGAGCGAAGTGGAGGAGTCGGTGGATGAGAGCCGGGAAATCCGGCGGAATTTTAACAGGTTTGCTACTGGGTTGTCTCTGGTGCATGAGGTTGGGGGTGATGAGATTCTCGCCGACATGCGAACAGGCACGGCTCTTGTGCTTGTACAAGTTGCGATCGTTGCGGTGTAAATGGAGGGAGAAGTTAATCAGCAGGAATTTGCAGCCTAGACCTGACAGGATAGAAGAGTCCGATGCGAAGGGCTGCGGATGCCGCATAGGTTCCGGTACTGAATTGCGACGGAGCAGGAGTAGGTGTGGGTTTCAGTTCTGATGGACCTCCCTCCAGGCATTCACCTGGACAGGAGTTGTTTTGGTAGTCAGGAATTCGTCGCTACAATCCAGGCATTGTAGAGAATGAGTCTGGAAAGAGGCATGACAATCGCCAATTTGGCGCTCGGCGGGCTTGCAGCAAAAGGACGCGTGAATGCAGCCCGTAGACTGCGCAGCGGCACAGTAGTTTTCCACGACTTGCAGAAGATACTAGTTTTTTGGATTGTCTTCACTGTTGCAGTTGCGGTCCACGTAGAGGGTCAAAATATTGAATTCACTGTGAAGCCCGACGCCTATTCTTCGAATATTAACCCGACGTTCGGGTTCATCGTTGCGGCGGGAACCAATGGGGTCAACCCATGCGGCACGAATGGGAATCAGTGCTCCTTTCAATGCAAGGTAAGAAGCCGTTCTCTTTCAATTTCCCCACATACCTCTTCGGAGGAACTGGAGCGTTGAATCATTAGTTCACTGCAACTCCAGCGCAAGTTTTGCACTGTTCTTGCAATTCACATTTCTCAACTTGTGACTGTAATGCATCACGAAAAGCTCAACGTCGTGAAGGTCTATGAGGATGCCCAATTAGGTTTGCTTTCGCAGATAGAAGGGAACTTGGAAACTGCGGTGAGGAAACATGTGTGCAATCGGAGAATGAGCTTTCAAGCTTTGCCTTAATTCGGTGCTGCGTCACAAGGGAGTTTGTTAGCCTCCCTCTGTTCTGTGAACCCTGTCGCTAACATCAGTAAATTCCGCATGATGGAAAGCGCCGTGTAATGTTCAGCTGATCCGAGGTGACATTCAGAGGTTTACAGCCAGGGTTCGTAACTGTTTTTAAAACTAATCAACTTTGCAGGTCTCGTAAAGCTTCAGAATAGGTAGGAGCACTAATACGATGCGGATAGTGAGAAAAGTAAATATTACCCTCTCGATGCAGAGGATTCCATGCTGTGGATGCTCACACTGTTCCAGGGAACCAGCAGTGAAACTCGAGTAGTCTTGGTAGACGAGCATGTAGAGCTTCCATGACCTAAGAGTACATAGCTAGTCCGAAGTTGGACGAGTTGATGAGGGTGATCGTACCGAGATGTACCTTTAGGGGAAACCGAGCTATCAAGGTGGAATTTCAATGCCCTGATTCGGCGATCTTTACAGCGCCGGCTTTAGGTGTCGAGTAAAAGAGAAATCTGCTTAGAGGTCACTAATGCGGGGCAGTCGTAGCACGTAGCGAAGTACGAACAAGCCGACTTTCAGCGCTAAGTGAGAGTTAAGTCGGGCTCTAGGTACACTTGATTAGCACCAGCGTTCAGAATTCGCAATGAATGTGGTTAGTTCATGTCTAGTCAAATCTCGCATATTCCAGGAGCTGATGGACAAACTTGTGTGACATGAATGACATTTCTGGCAGCTGGACCAAAGTGTATTCCAAGATTGCTCAGGGGGAACGTATTCCTCTTTCAACCTCACAGATGGCTCTCACATGTTCACCGTCGCGGCAAACACATCTACTGGAACGCCATTGCCACAGAGCATGTATTCATGGAATATAGGTAATTGAATCTGTTGATCAGTGCTTGCGCTTGAAAATTTTGCTTCGACGCGAGTCGTAGCATCGTTCCCGCTTGTGGCGACGCCCTGGCATTTAACCTCACCGCCCATCTGAGAAAGTTTTTGGGTGGATTTTGTGCGACTCAGATACCGTGCCACCCACAGCTTCGGTTGTCTCGGATGCGTTGTACACAAATGCGGTCAACATCACTGTCAATGTCACTTTCACCGAGGTTTGCAGCGGAGGACGCACCTTCCAATGTTCAAGTGTTGACACTTGTGATGTTAGTTGCTACCAACACCCAGTTCTTCATTCTTTTGCATTGTACTATAGCAGGCCTCAAACGTGAATTGTCTGTGAATCAGTATTGTTGTACAGCATTGCAAAAATAACTTTACAGGTTGATGATAGCCCGCTGTCCCTTGGAGATTGAATTGCAATGTGAATGGTTCAGCTGGTAGTACGCGGATCCGGGGCCGTTTTGCCATCGACGCTCAGAGTCGTGACACCAGGGCTGGCTTATTCGTTGCAAGTTGGACTGTCTACTTTAGTTCCCTCTGGGAGGGTATCTCTTACCACAAGCAGACAGATATGCACTGACGGAGCAGGCAACCCCTATCAACGAAGCGCGAACTCCACCATTGTCGTCCGTTTCAGTATGTACACTACATGTCTTATAGAATCCAGTAGGTGTCATTCCTAGTTCTTTTTATTTTAGCATTCTTACGGTAGGATCATAATCTCATTTTCAAGCGAATCCTTGATTTCAAACTAAGTCTTCGTTTCCCTGGTGAGTATAGTTGAGATAAAGTGGTGAAAACATGTGCTGATTATATGTTTATTCTGGTGGGTAATATCAGGTCGTATAAACCCCACTGTTAATCTCTGGACTCCCTTAACGAATTTCCAAGTTGCGATTGGTGATCAATTGCGAACGGTTCAGTCGACAAACTCCACCAGTGATCTACCGATTTATCTAGACTTTAGTGAGCCGATTCAAGGCTCCAGCGCTGAACTCCAGAAACAGCTCACATACAGCTATGGTGTTCTTCTTCCTGCTAGCAGAAGAAGTCGAGGCAATCGTCGGTTCGCGTTCACGGTAGTGCCTTTCTTTCATCAGGAATCTTAGATTTACGCGGTTATGATCGATTTTTCATTTATTTTTATACTCAGTTCCTTGTGGTCTTTCCTGCTTGAGAGCTTCATAGCTATGAAAGCCTGTGTGTAAATCCTAACACAAGCTTCTTGCTCTATCGCAGCTATCATTCAATAACACCCGGACGGCCGCTGTGACAGTAACACTACCAGGAAACACAACAGAGAGTAGATATGGCAATCCAGTGCAAGAAACAGCAAGGGTATACTTTCTACTTGGTATGTTGAACTAACCTCAATGTCTCCTAGTGCTTTGCTTTCATTATGTGCTGTGACCCATTTAGCAGTGATGACCACAAGCACTGACGTTGAGTTTTCTCATCGGCTCTCGTAGACACTGAGAGGCCTCAAGTTCAGCTGAGCACAACTGCGCGTGCACATACACACGATCGTCTTGTGCCCGTTGTTATACAGTTCACGAACCCTGTGTTTACATTTAATAGCTCCGGTGTTACCATTGCTGGCGGAATATTGCGAAGGTGAAGTCAATTTCCTTAAGTTTTTCTTTCTTTCTTTATCTTCTTCTTGATTTATTTTTGCCCTAGTCATCCATTTCCTCCTTTCCCGATAATTTAATGTTGTCTGTGCGTGCATGACGTTGATCACGACATTGCAATCCTAGTGCGTGACAGAAAGTTGTGGTTGCAGTTTCAGAGAGGTTACTAAGACTACTTACGCTCTTGTGGTCTACGCGTCGGAGGGTGCCACCAGTAAAATATCCGTGGCTGAAAATCGAACCGTAGACATAGCTGGAAATCCTAATGTTGCTTCTTCAACGCTGCAAATCATGCACTGTGAGTAAACTCTTCCTTTAGTGGGTTTTTGGGTAATTACTTTAAACTGCTATGGACATGTGCTTAGATGCATAGCGTTCTGTTTGAAAGAAGAATTCCCATATTTTTTGAAATTTAAGCCTGACTCTCATACCTCTTAATTTGTCAGATTATTCGACGCCGGCCGTCTCGATTGCCTTGTACTCATTCATCACAGCAGGTTTATTAGGCACTGCGTTTTTCTCTGGTGCCCTTGCCATCTCTTCCGCTAATCTGGCTGCTGCAGGCGCAACTTTCGGTCGACCAGTTAGTTGTGTGGGCGCAGACGCATCCCGAAATCTTTTGGTGAGGCATCCGACACCATGAACGGCTTCCTTGATCGCCTTCTTGAATGCCCTACTTTAGGAATGCATTCTTTGAACACACGGCTAATCACCTCCTTCTGCATTATCTTTTGTGATGTAGGGAATGGCAGGTCACGTGCAAGTCCTCGCTCTTTCGAGTTTCCTTGCAGTGAGCTTGCCAATTGAGTATGCCGAGACTGCTAACGGCTTGCAGTGGATAATTCCACACGTGAAAACTCCCTGGCAAAAGGATGACAACTTCACAGCAGGCTTTGCGTCTAATGTGCATACGAATCTCTCACTTACCATTCGTCGAAGCTTGCTTTCGGTGTCTCACGTACCCCCAGACGTAGGCGAATTCCAGCTACAAGCTCTTCATTCGGCGTGCATGATGATGCAACAATGGCCCACTCAATATGTACGTTTCTTTTATAAGTCCTTCATTTGACTTCTTCATGGTTATCCCCCCCTGTAAACAAGCACGAATTGACTAAGCATTAGTAAGCAAGACTGTGTATTTACGAAATTGTTCTAACATTTGGAACGCAGGGTAATCTGAACTGCTCTCTCTACAGTGATCGTCTGGCAACAACACACTGGTCTGACGATTACTTGGAAGAAACTCTTCCCCACAAACAAGAATTTCATACATCTCACTTTCACGACAGAAGGCGTTTGGGTGCGAATGGAACAGAATTTGGACCAGCTATGACTGCAGAAGAATACAACTCATACTTTCTCGTAAGCGCTTCATGCACTTTGAACTTGCAATCCTTAACAGCATGCGGACAAGTGTTTTGATCTGAATAACTGCTGTTTTCGTTAAATTTCATGCAATTATAGTTGAGTTACTAGGTTGTTTTCACCAAATGCAAACGTGACTAATACCCTGTTCGCATCGCAGGATCAGACTTCTACTTTAAGTAGTTTAAGGGCCGACTTGCTTACATCGGAATATACTGGGTGGGACGATTTTCTTCGTAACATTTTCTGGCTAGCAGTTATATGCGGCAGTTTGATTCTTCTGCATATTCTTTTACTGTTGTTCCTGCGCTGGAGAACAAAGACTCCTCTTCATGGAGCCCTAAGCTTCCCTCGCTTCGAGCTTTTTCTTCTCGTTTTGGCATTGCCGGCGATCGCACAAGCTTGTGCCTTCATCATAAGTGGTACGTATGCTAATGTGACCTTTGCCCCGACAGACACTTCATTACACACAGCATGTAAACCCCGTTTGAGCTTATGTTTGCGCGGACTGGTGATCACATGTGCATATCAACAGTGTCAATCAAATCCTTGCCTTACCAATGTCTTTTATTTCGAGAAGATAAAAGTACAGTGAATTTTCCTGAGGTCGCTTCTGGGTGTAGAAATTTATCGACACTTGCTGAGAGAACTCACAAGAAGTTATTTATCTTCGGCGATGTTAGGATGCAGTGACAGATTTGCATGTGGGTGTACAGGGGGCACAAAAGCAGGCATCGCCGTGGGGGTAATACTTTTGATCATTCCCGCACTAATTCTTATTATGACCACTGTGCTTCTTATCGTCGGCATATTTTTGGGTAAAAAAGTCCAGTATAAGGAGCTGAGACCACATTTGCAACAAGACGGAAAGCTTCCTCCCCCACCGACTGGGAAACCGTTGTCGTTTGTGACGGGGTCAGGTTATCCAGGCAAGTGGGCGAGAAAGGAAAATACGAGTCCTGCTTTCATTCCACGGTTCGGCATCTTGTTTGAGGATCGTAAGGGTCCGCCAAGGCTTGTCTCGATGATTGAAGACCCAAATCAGCGCAACGAGACAGGTCGTAGCGGGTTCCGACGCTCCGCGACAATGAATTCCGATGATGAGCATGATGAACGGGTTGTGTCACGCTCGTACACATTGTTAGGGGGTTTTCAAACCGCGTACGTTTTGGTGGATATGTTGAGGCGCATTCTCCTAGGAGTGTTCTTCGGTGCATTTCGAATATCAGACGAGTCCTGGACGCAGGTATCATTGGTACTCGCAATTACCACGGTGCAGTTCTTGTATCTCGTAATCACGAAGCCCTTCCAGCGGCGATTTGTACAGTTTGTTGAGACCGTGTCCCTCATGTGCGAGATCGGCATCTTCGTTGCGGCCATGGTAATCTTAGGACTCAATCGACCATACGATCCTCATTACGGTATCGGAATTTTCATGCTTGTGCTGTTCGTGCTGAGCTTCGTGGTACAAATCGCGAACGAGTGGTTTGCCCTTATCCGTCAACTCCTTGCTCTTTCCAACAGTGAAGAAATATCGCCGAAGCAAGGCCTCCAAGCTTTTGCTGCTGGCCTCATGCTGCCTTTGCTTCCAAGGCGTCTATGGCCGCAAGTGAACACGGAAAGTGCGCACACGACCCCGGCACCTCCGAAGCCAACTCCCGCCCCAAGGACTCTCGACGTTGATTCAAGGCCGAGTTCGTCATTTGGTCAGTTTTACACCAGTCCAGTGTCTTCTCCAAGACCCGATAATGGAATCGTCACGCAGGGTTCGAGACCATCAGTTCTAAGTGGAGTGACCAAGTCTGCCAAGCCGGTGATGAACACTACAGACTACTGGCCCGGAGAGGATCTACAAGAATGGGCACGGCAGAATTCACTGGAAAGGAGGAGGCAAGAAACACAGCTCGTAGCAAATCCGATGGTTCAAGAAATCCAGCAGGCAGACCGAGTTTTCTTAAAGTATTCTTCGGGAGCTGCAACTGACACCGTTGTAAGTAGATCGCGGCATCGTCGTAGCCCGCGAGTGCACAGCGACTCCCTTTCCGAAGATCTATCCGACGTTGACATCAGCATGGGGTCACAAGAGTTCGCGCATGCCATTGAAGTTGGGCCTGCGCCTTAATCTTCGCTACCTCGTCAACATTCAACAGTCCTTCTCCAGTTCTATGTTTTTGTTAACTGTGTTTTCAACACAATCGGCCTCGATCAGACATTAAGCAAAGCCATGGCCTAGACATCTTTGCCCAGCTGTGTGACGATTCAGGAGTCGATAACTTCGCAGTGATCGTAATCTTTTTCATTTCGCTCCACCATAGATTCGTCACAGGAAGTTGTTAAAATTTACCTCTTCGTGTAACATGTGGTTTCCAGTTCGATGTAGATTGATTAACATGAACATGATTTCGATCTTCGGCATGCGACCACTTGGTAATTGTTTGAGTCCATGGAAAGTCATCAATTTCATAGACTCAACCAGTCAACAAGTTCTCGCCATTGTAACATGTACAACATTTTCTGTAGAGTTGGTGCAAACCCTTTGTAGTTCTGTAGTGTTAGAGAAAAGCCTAAGTCGGTTGGCTTTTACGGCAATTCTTGAAATTGCGTTCTCGAATTGTACAATAAAATTGGTAGCGTTCATTCATCTCATCATCTCGAGATTTTGTTACGCCTGCTACGAACTTGTTACCGCTTCATTGTCCCCAATAAACTTCACCATATATGCACAGCCTAGCTTCACCAACGTCTTTGTTGAGGTTTTAGTTCAAATAGATTCTGATCTGCTGACACCAATCACATGTGAGCTTTCCACTCAATAGCTATTCGACAAATTTGGGTCTTCTTGCCTGCTTCGTAGGATGCTAGTATCACCCACATTTGCTCATGCACACATTTGCCCTTCTGATCATCACCATCATCATCATCGTCCTCACGCTATACAATGCAGACATCACCGCATTATCAGAAACGCTCACTTGAAATGCACTGCACCTGTCAATCACCCCAGGCTGAGACGAACTCATCTGACGCTTTGTGGCCATTCCAGGGACAGCCTTACCGTGATAGCGTCCAAGATGGGAAATATCGCACGCCTCGGTTTCGTCCTGCGCTAGCGTGGCGCTACAGTGGGTCTCCATTAGCAGGTCCCTGCTTTACCCACTTCGAACTTCGACAATTCCAGCCACGCCGTTTTAGACTCGAAAGCATGCAACAGCGCACTGACGGCGAAAACACAGGTTTCATATAAAGAAAAAACGGGGGAGATAATTAGAAATCTCTAGGTCTCCGTTACACCCAGTGCCAGTGATGACACATGTCATCCGCAGAAGACCAATATAAGGCGTGTCTTAGTTGGATACTGCCTCGGAATTTAACCGACCACGGCACACAAGCGCAGAAGCTAAAAACTGCACATCCACAGCCCCCGGATATCGTTAGTAGTTTGGACCGACGCGGCCATCGATGCATGATTGCATCATGATGCATGTGGGTGGGAGATGCGCTAATGTTCTTTGAGTTCCGCTGCGCAGCGTGCGCCGCACACTCTCACGGCGGCTGCTTATATTCCGACGCAGTAGCGTTTGTAGGCCACAACTGGGTTCCATAATACAGAGCTGACTTGAAGCAACAATGTGTATATACTTAGTTGTTATATTAATGGCATTTGAGTCGCCTCATGTTCTTGAGGTTGATGTTATTTGATGCAGAAAAATGGAGCAAATTTTGCAAATTGAGCAAATGTTTTGGGGTTTGGAGAGTTTTGATTGGTGGTGTGAATATCCTTGTGAATAATTTCAATCCCTTTATCTGTTTGCGTGTGTGTACATAAAATGGAAATGAAATTGTGAACCTTCCTTGCTGCTGAAATTGTGAAACAATTATTGCCTTTTCGGTATCATTTTTAGTATGGGTTCTTGCTTTAACTGTAGGAAAATACTGTTAATGGTTGCTGCCAAAGAAAGAAAAAGAAACAGAAAAAGCTGGAGGATATATTTCTATTCATACGTACAACTACACAAAAAAAAACCAATAAAACAAAAACAAATCTTTATTTGGACAGAAAAAGTGAAAAAAATGATGACTTCAGGACTTGTTGTTATAGTGATAATTTTCAAGATAGAAATTGAAGGTGAAAATAAATTGCAATTATGTTCATTAAAAAAATATATAATCAATGTTATTCTTCTTGCAACATATTAGCACAAAGGAATTTAATTTTAGGGTGAAACTTTCAAAACTTAAATTCAATGAACTTCAAAACTTGAAATTTATTTCTAAGAAAGAAAGAAATTAGAAAAGCACAGGCACGTTGCAGAATTTCACATATCTAATTTAGCTTTTACAATTCTCCAAAAAACACAATCAGTTTCCAAGTTTAACTTCCTAATAAAGAAATCAACTGATGAATCTGTTCAAATTGACACAAAACACGTTGTAAAATGAAAATAAATAATGTAAATGTATATTTTTAAACTAATATATATTGGCAAGTGTTGCATTAGAAACCTCGAAAAATCATGATAACAAATCAAAACCGAAGGTGGGAGTTTATCAATTTAAAACAATAATTCAAACTACGTTGTCTCTGTTGATTGCTCTTCAATTTTATAGACAAAAATTTATCTATTTTTTTATTATATATAGATTTAAAAATATATTATCATCGATAAAAATAAAAAATAATATCTTTGTACAGAGATCTATGATTAAGTGTTTTTGTAAAAAAAGCATAGTCTCTGTTCACTTTACAGCTGTGTGAATCCAATGGATAAATTTTTAAATGCAAAACACCCACAAATTTTAAGTTCAAATTCAAACTTTGTTAATTGCGGATTCTAATAGATACATGATTGTTAAAAAATCAATTTCAAAGGTTAAGCAATGGTCTCTATTTTATAAAAAGTAAATAATAATAAGAATGATTCACTTGAAAAAGAGTAATTATATCTTGTATTTAGACACAACATTACAAAGGTAGTTGTCAGAACAACCATTAAGTTAGGCACTACACACTAAAATTACCTCAAATACTATACAATACTATATATATAAGCACACACACTATCTCTCCTTCAATAGACTGTATGTATTATTATTAATATTTTACATTCATTATTAAGAATGAACACTTATTTTTAAAAGATATGTCACTGATTGGAACAACATGTTTTGTTTGGAGGTACCATTGAGTAGCCTTAGTTTTATATTGTAAGTAACAGAAGAAGAACTGGATACTGGAATGAAGAAACAACAGCATATTGTGGCGGAAAAAATAGAAAAAAAAATATATTGAATAAACAATCAAAAGTAACAAAAACAAAAACAAGCAAACAATTTGTACAAGATTGTTGGTAACTTTTGAAAAGATTTACTATATCATGGAACTTTGGCATTCTAAAAAGAAAATGTGTCTGTTTTGAGATTGTTATGTATGTTACAAAGTACTGCCACTTCTCCTTAGCTTTATTCATTGGTATTTTGTTATTATTTTTTGTTTTTTTGTTTTATCCTATAGGAGCTTAGTTACAATACATATTCAGAATTGTTTATTTTCATTTACTTTATAGGAATACACTTGTTACATTTTTCAATACTGAATATATATATATATATATATAAGAATGTCTTTGTGCATTGATTCATTCTTATTCCTGTTTTTAAGTTCAATGGGTTTCATTTTGCTACCCAGCAAGTCTCAGTGGAGGAATTGCACGAGGTTCAACGAGCCAACAAAAAGTGGCACACTGTTGTGAAGCAATGGGCCAATGCCACAGTTTCTATTTCACAAATGCCTATATTCAAATCCAAGGCCAATGATTTCCATGGCATTTTTATGTTGTGCCTCTGTTCTTCATTTTATTTATCAACATCATCACCTTCCATATCATATGTCCAAAGATCCTAGTCTTTGCAAAACCCTAAAAGCCACCGCGACCCCCAATGCAGCCAAAAGCACCCCACCAAAGGGAGAATTTGGAACACCTAGTCACCACTTTTTTCGCTCAACCATAAAAGGCCCACAAGATAAGCCTTTTTTCTATCAACATACTTCAACACATCTCTCTTTTGCCATTTTGCTATTGTCCATTCCATCACTCAACCGTCCAGATCAAAAACGCAAACAAGGAATAACATTACTGCCATAAAGCTTCACCCGCTGGGAGGGGGGGGGGGGGGGGGGTTTAAACCCACAAATGGTTGTGTTCCCAAATGAGATGCAACTGGGAGGTGATCGTTTTGCGGGTAACGTAGTGTGATGGGTGGTGGAGGAGGAATCCATTGAACCTGTTCCCAGGTGGAGGGATTCAGTGGATGCTGCTGCACCCTCCCATTCAAAACCCCCTCTGCTCCCAAACCCTAAATCTGCTTCATGCTCATTCCTTCCCTGGTATGGGAACACTGTGCCACATGGACGAAAAGGCTGGGAATTAAATACACCCCATGAGGGGATCAAGATAGAGATAGTGTTTGGTTGGGTTTAGGGGAATTAGTTAAATCATCTTAGTAATAGTTAGTTGGGAGGCAAGTGGAGTGGATGGTGGGCACATGGGTGGGGGCAGGAGTTGGCATGTGGAACCCACATGGGCACCCCTCCCAACACACCCACTCTCTCAACCATTCTCCCTCATGACCAGGCTACCTTTTCCTTTCCTTTCCCCTTTTTCATTCACTTTTTCACTTTTTAATTTTTATGTGTAATTCATTTTAATTTTTCATGTATTGATTATATTGCTGATATTGTTGTATTGGATCACTCCCAGTGCTTGAGGGGGGGATGGATCAGAGTCTACATGTTTTGGATGCCCAGCACTGCAGCATTTTGTGCATCTCCATGTGCAAGTGGATGATTTTGGATTGTTGGATGAATGGGACCAATGAACGTTTTGTGTAATAAATATACCTATACTTGTTTATTGAATTTTGGAATTGGGTACTTATGTTCTGACTAAAAAATTAGTGTATGGCCACTATTTGATTGTGAACATTTCTTATACTCTTGTTAGTTGGTAGGAACCAAAATAAGATTGAAAGTGTATGTGAGCTTTATTGTTGTTATCTTGTTAATATTATCATTTTTGAAGTGGTGAGGATTGATACACTTAAAAAGCTTTTTTTCAAATGACTTGCGAAAGAGGGGCATTACTTTATGATTGCAGTTGTAAAAGATTCTGTAATGTATGTTAATGTTGGGCTTTCACTTGTCATTTTCTTTGATCCTTTGGTGTTAAGCTCACATTCAGATAAATGCATTACTTGGGTACTAAACTTGCCCATTTGCTGAATATCCTTGATATTGTCCATTCCCTGCCCAATCTACATCACTCCATGTTTAAAATTACAAATATTTGTATTAATTATGTATTGATTGTATTTATAAAATATTTAATACATTCTAATAACACCATATACAACACTGAATATTAGTATTTCATTGTTTAGATTGATAAGGCCAAGTAGCTTTTTCTGAGACTTACAACAATTTAACTTGGAATATTATTTACCTGATTCAAAGGTTGATTTTTCAAGTTTTTATCATAAATATAAAGCTACAATTTGTTTTACGCAAGCATAACATTCTGTCATTCCTTTTTACAATTTGTCCTCTGTAACTGAGTGATGAGATTATTTGAAGATTATCCAGTGATTTGAAAATATTTGGAAATTAGTGAAACACAAAAATGAAAAAATATAAACCATACTTAGAAAAGAAAGAAAGTACGCAGTTAAAATACAATTAATTCTGTAACCAAAATCCAATTAAAAGCTAACACTTACACTAACTCACATAGTTATTATTATTATTATTTCCATAATTGTAACTTTGTGAAGACAATGCGTTTAGATTTTCGATCAGATAACGAAAGATTTTCGATCCACCGCACAATCGCCGATTGGTATTTTATGATCCATCACAACATTAAATGCTAAATGTCTACATACACTGATATCAGAGTATGCAGCGTCGCTGGGGGAGTGAGCGAGGAATTTTTTGGCTCAGGGTGCATGAAATCGGCACCGACTTGTGAATCTTGGGATGAACCTAGAGCTGGGATCGATTCCCGAGTCGAACGTTCTCCCCCGACGGATGGCTTCAGCCCACGCCGAGATTAGATTGCACGGAATTCTTCCCCAGGATTATAGAACTGATAAACAAAGTGTGCACGGGTTGCAGGTTTGCGATGGGGTTCGAAGCGTAGTGAGATGCTTGCGGCGGTTGCGACGGGAAGACTATGCTGGAGCTGGTTGTTTTGTTTATTGCTTAAGGGGATGAAAATTGGGTGCGTGCACAGGGAGAAGGGATCAGGCTGCAGCAGCCTCCATGGAGAGCTTACGTCATGGTATTTTTAGACCTCTGCGGCTACGCAGTAGGCCGTGGGAACCATAAGAGCGCAGATGCTATTTGTACCTTGTGACGATGTCGAGAGTCGGAGTATTTTTAGAGGGATGCGTAAATGGCTCCTCGGCCGAGAAGAGCGGCAGCAACAACCTCTCCAGTTGGGGGTTAATGCAGGCGGCCGGTTAGCCAGGAGAACGTGAGTGATGTGTGCAGGGGAGGCATACGTTGAGTGTCTGTGCCTGGCTTGCCGATAGACCTATGTCATGATGCTGACGACCCATCGCCACTTGCACTTTCTAGTTGCACTGGCGGTGCTGAAGAAAGAAACAGCTTTTGGGGTCGCACAGGTGGTTTTTGTATTTATTTTTCTACTTGTGTTTGCTTCTGGGTCGACGACCGAGGCTTGGAGAGCAAAACAATAGCCATATGAATTTCTTCACCGCACTGATAGTGGAAGGAAATAATAGGAGCTCGCTGGTATTAGATAGATTTAGAAATTCGGAAGAATTCGTGTCTAGGTTGTTCTCGGGGGCTGCATTGACTGGGAGGGAAGGGGCTAGTCAAGTCGAGGTTTTGGGTTTTTTCACGGTTTTTGGGTGATCAGTTGTGGGGATGAGTGTGGCGGTTTAGGTCAGCGGAGTGGAGAGCCGTCGGCAAAAGAATGCTGGCAGAGCTTGAGTGAGGTTGAGACGTCTGACCATAATGCTGTCGAATGCAAAGAACGCCATGGAGGAGCCCGAGCGAAGCTGGCCGGATCAACGCAATGCTTCCATGGGTAGTTTCATTGACTTGGATATTAGTCTAGATATAGTGCCCAGCAAGTTCGATACAGGGCGTGACACCAGACGATCTTTGTCTTCTCACCGACCAAAAGCGAAGGAATCAGGGAAGGGAAATGCTTGGTAAGCGCATAAATTCCTCCTTGGGCGTGTGAAATTTGGAATAGATAGCTCTAGTTCATAGAAGATCTCATAGCCCTTGCGTCTAACAGGTACAGCGATGCTGCAGTGGGACGACAGAAGTTCGGTGCAGTAGCAAATGCAGCGTTCTTTACTACGCTATCATTCTGTTGTTGGTGTGACGTTGCCCAAAAGGCAACTTGGAATTGGGCTTTGACTCAGCGTCATGTTTAGATTGCCTGTTGTCGAAGTTGTTTAGTGAGGATCTTGGATTGTGTTAAGGAACGGACCGCGGAAATGTGTGACAGAAGAGTATTCTACACCATCTAACGGATTTTCTTTTTTCGTGCTGTGTAGGGCTGAAGCCAACGAGTTGCAGAGTAATCTGCATATTGAGGTTGGCGATCGAAGCTTTCAATTACACAAGTTTCCACTCATTTCGAAGAGCGGCAAACTGAACCGCCTGGTGTTCGAGCTGCGCGACCCCAACAAGGACCGCATAGCGCTCCATGACATACCAGGGGGGGCGAGCGCATTTGAAGACGCTGTTCGATTTCTTTATGGGAAGAGCGTCCCGATCACCGCTGCTAATGTGGGTGCGCTTCGTTGCGCTGCAGAGTTCTTGGAAATGAACGAAAGCTTAGGGGAGGGAAGCTTGGTTGCGAAAACTGAGCACTACTTGAACCTTGTGGTGGTAGGGTCATGGAAAGACTCAATTACCGTTCTGCGTGCGTGCTCGGATCTTAAACCCTGGGCGGAGGATCTCGAAATCGTACGCAGGTGCAGTGAATCCGTTGCGTGGAAGGCGAGCACTGATCCTCACGGCCTCCGCTGGTCTTATTCTAAAGGCACAGGTGGCAGGGATGCCCCTCGCGGATGGTGGTTCGACGATGCTTGTAGCCTTTACATTGACACGTTCATCAAAGTTATCAATGCCGTCGCTTCTAAGGGCATGGACTACACGATAGTGGCCGCGGTGGTGGTGCAGTATGCTGAGAAATGGTTGGGGCTGACGCAGTCGCCCACCACGAAGCCAACGCAAGGCGATTCTCCCAAATCTAACGGCGACGTAGTTGCATTTAAGGGGTTTAGTCGAGACTTTTCGAGCAAAGCACAGATCAAGAATCGCGCCATCGTCCAAGGCATTGTAAGCTTGCTCCCTTCGCAATCAAACTCCATCTCCTACAAATTCCTTCTGAAGCTCCTGCGAGCTGCTTGCGCAGCAAACGCTGGCTCCATGTGCAAGACGGATTTGGCGAGAAGAATTGGCACTCATCTGGACAAGGTCTCCGTTGATGAGCTTCTCATACCTGCGTACAGCGCCACCAATGATTCCATGTATGATATTGACGTGGTGCACCAAATCGTAGAGTCTTACCTTGAGGAGCAAAGTTCAAGGAGTCTCCCAGCGAGCCCCACGAGCAGCTCCGACAAGACGAGTGTCACAAGTTCAATCACCACGAACATTTCTAGCATAACCACATCTTCCAGTGACACGGACACCAGCAGCGTTACCGGGCGAAGCAGCGTCTCAGGTACAAGCGTTTCAGGAACAAGCTCGACGCGTACAAGCATTTCGAGCATTTCTGGCTCAAGCACCTCACGCACAAGCGTTTCGAGCATATCGGGGTCAAGTGTCACGGGGACTAGCATGTCAGGAACGAGCGTCTCAGGGAGCGGCACTTCGATTTCCCGTACCACATCAAGCATGAGTGATTCGTCTGGAAGCGACACAAGCACCACCACCGGGACAACTAGCAGCAGCGAGGAGTCGAGGATGAAGATTGATAACAAGTTTGAGAAGTCTAAGTTCTTTGCAACGGAGGGTCCAACGAGGAGATCACAGCTTCCTCCCACTTCATCAAATCTTAGAGTTGCAGAGATCTTGGAGACTTACTTGGAAGAGGTTGCTAAGGACTCGAGCATTCCACTCGGAAAGTTCGTGGCGCTGGCTGACCTATTTATCGAGTTTCCTCGAGAATCAGATGATTGTGTATACATAGCAATCGACACCTTCCTGCGGGTACTTATTTCTTTTCACGCTACTTCTGTTATAATTGAACACCTGGCATCGACAATAGATTTTGTGTCCACAAGCTACGGTATTGAGTTTGATGAGATTTCGGTCTGACATGCTCGTGATGGTGTATGCAGTCTCACCCAAGCTTGAATGACCTTGAGCGCCGTGACCTGTGCAAAGTGATGGACATTCAAGCCTTGTCCCTGAACGCTTGCATGCACGCCGCTTCAAATGACCGTCTTCCTGTGCGAGTAGTCGTTTCGGTACTCTTCGCGGAGCAAGTCAAGCTGCGAAATGCCATTACAGGCACGGCTGTTGTTAACGACAAGGGCGTGGATAGCATTCCCGCTATCTTCTCCTCCTCCACTTCTTACTCGGGAACCAGTTCAGACCCGCTCTCGAAATCCAGTGCTTCCACAAACACGTCCACGGACACATCCACCACAAGTCTTTCAACTACAGGTGGCTCACGTAGCAGCGCATACAGTCTTTCCATTCGCAGCGAGCCTCTCAGCGCGGCCCCTAGCGCCGCTCCAAGTGCTGCGCCGAGTGCTGTGAGCTCGGTCCTGCCAGGTGGTTTGACTGTTAAAGACACGGTTCGGGGTGCTCTCTCTGAGATTGAGATGCTGCGGGCGGCGGTGCAAGAAATTGAAATGGTGAAGGCTCATCTCAGCTACATGAACGTCCTCCAGCAGGACATAGAAAGTATCAACAGGAAGTTTATGGATTTTGCTCAAGATTACTCAGGAATGACGCATCAGGTAACACACACTCCATCTGCTCTGTATGTTGTTTTCGGATTTCAACTCTCTCCTGTTTTGGATGAATGAGATTGGTATTTTCGCAATCTGATTGAAAATCATGTGATTGTATGCGCAGGTGGAGGAGTTAATGAAAGCTACCAAGCACAAAAGTGGCTGGACCTCCGGATGGAAGAAAATGGCGAAGCCGTTCCAGGGAAAGGATCAGTCTGATCCGCTGAAGAACTTCCACCACAGCTTATCCTCAGAGAAGCACTTGAAGGCTGCAGCAGATACTATTCCCTTATATCAGCAAATGAATATCCTGCATCCTACAGATGTCCAGCGTCTTCAACCTATTCAACCTATTCAACCCACTCAAACCCCCAAGACGCCAGTGCAAGCAGCCGCACCCAAGGCCTTAGTGCCATCAGCCGTACCCATGGCTCCAATTGAAGCTCCGAGGGCGAAGTCGATGACTTCGGCTTCCAAGATTCCAGAGGCCAAGTTGGAGACGCCGGTCAAGGTTATTGTCATGCCCAAGGGCGAGTCTCCGAAGGTGGAGACTGTTCCGGCCCAGTCTCAAAGTACTAATACTGCTACTACCATCACTACCACCACTGAGGCGCCGTCTTCCAAGGCTAATGGAACCGTAGATCAGGTTGCGAAAGAAGTGCAGCCACCGAAGCAGAGTGTGTCTTCAACTAAAACAGAGACGAGCACAGTGAGAGAAACAGCAGAGGCTTCGAGAGATAGCACCACGCATCCCAACAAGAACCCGAAGACACCAGGACGCCAGTCTCGTAGCCAACACCGCGCTTCATCCCCACCACCCGACGCCTATCACGGCCGCCTCCATCGCAGAGATTCCGACACTCTCTCTGTTTCTACTGATACCAGTTATTCCAGCTTTCAGAGCAGTCCACGCCATCGACACAGAGACACAAGCTCGGGCCATCGTCTCTCCGAAGACCGCAACCATCGAGGCAGTCCTCACGGTCGCGGGCGCCACAAATCGCACAACCGGCACAGGGACGGATCCGCGGAGCACCACACGAGCAGTCACCACCGAGAACGCAGCCCAGACAACCGCCATCGCCGAACCCACCACAGCCCCGATCATCACCTCCGGAAAGACCACCACCATCACAGTAAGGATCCCCCTCGAGTAAGCAATGTCAGCAACCACAAAACCGGCTCGGATCATCACCCCAGCCACCACAGCTACTTCAAGCCGCACCACAAAAGCCACCGCAAGCATCACCACAAGAGAGATTACGACTCCGCATCCAACTACAGCAGCGATTCTGGATCAAGGCCATCTAGACCTCGGCGGCATTCAGGAGTGTAAATCAGCAACTGCTTCTTCTTCTCGTTTCCGCTTGTAGGTGACAAATCTTTATTGCAAAGCTTAACGGCGTCGGTCATGCAGGACATCAGTGAAATACAAACCCACACACTCTTTTAGTAGTCTCTTCGAAGTAGATCCACTGGGTTTTAGAATCTTAATAGAGACATAAGAAGCAGCACATTCAGGAAGTGAAGGTAGTCATACTTCTTGAGCAGAGGTGAGCTATAGAGCAATTTGCGTCACACTGGTGCAAGAGGGTTTTTCCATAGCTTCCTCGATAAGAGTAGGTCACACAATTCAGCATTGTCTATAATCGTCACAAGGTATTTTTTTGTACAGCGCCACTTGGGTACTCTCTACTTAAGTTTTTTGTTTTACAGATCTGTTGGGTTCTTCTTCCTGTTGATGCTCCAGGTGGTGAAGTCTAGGTCTAGAAAAACTAGGAAATATAGAAACAGTTAGACATATGCAACCAGGCTCGTGTGCCGGGGCTTCCATTCCATTCAGTTTTATTCAAAAACACTGCAGAGACTTGTTACCTGTCGTGCTTCATGCATAATGCGCTTTTTTGTGCAAGCATGGCTGAGGAAGTGCTTTGGAGTAAAGTTTCCTGATTTGGGGTTGTACTCAGTTATAAAAAAGCTGCTCTTGGCTTTGGTCGTTCTTTGAACAAGCTATGACTATATTTTGAGTGTGTAATTTTGTATGTGGGATAGCTATCACGTGTTTGATCACGTAGGGTTTTGAATGGTAGTGATTGAGGAGGCATTTAGTGGTAGAATGGTGAATTCATGAACGGCCAAAACTCATATGTTTTTTGCAATGAAAAAGTATGCAAATTCAAATATATATTTATATATGTATGGATTTATTGTACCTCCAATATAAGCAAAACCATTATACTTGGATTTTTGAAATGAACAAAGATATGCATTTAAACTATGTACTTAAACTATGGAGCAATTATTAAAGCAAGCTCATTTACACCTTTTTGTGTATGATAACACTATAGTAAGGTGTATGATAACAGTTCTTTGTCATTTCCTAATCAAATATGTGTTTGGCCATTTGAGAGATGTTCTATCTCTTGAATAGAAAAGATTTGTGTTGTAGGTTTTTTAGTAATAGTTTTTGGCAAATCATCAATAAATTTTCTATATTTGATAAAATCCTTAAAAAATATGCTTCTAATATAGAATATATTCTATACTTCAATTTCAAAGACAAACTTGTTTTCTCAAATTTTAATAGTCTATAAACAAAGTTTTCTTGATAAGAATTAGATCTAAAAATATTTGAATATAAAAGGAAGAGTTTTTTACAAAGTAAATGATTTTCAACAATTCTAAATCCAAGTATTGAATGCTAATTTATATAAAAGAGAAGTGACTCAATTCTTAATGTGATGGATTTGATGATGATTCCAAAACCAATAGAGAATAGATTCAAGTGTTTGGAGTTGCCACATATCCTAGTGAATATTAATATCAATACTAATTTTTCTTCTCTTTGTGTTAACCACCAATCTTTTGTGCTATATAAGCCAAATGAATAAAACCCTTCACAAGAATAGTGATTGGATAAAATTTCTTTTTAATTTTAATTTTAATTTTTTTTTGACTAAAGAGAATATTTTATTTGCATGCTACTAAATTACTAATTGAGCTATTGCTTTGAAGTAAATATTTGCTAAGTTTGGCAAAATACATCATGAATTCTTTTTTAAAAATTCAAAAATATGATAGAAGATCAAAGTTCAATTTACAAATTAGACCATAAAAGAAATCAATGCCATTTTTTTATTTTTATTTTTATTTTTTGGTTTTGTAATTGAAATAACTCTAACAATATTCAAAAAACCTTCAATTTGATTCATATTGTCTTTTAAGTTTTGTTTAAGCAAAAATTATTCATCAAAGTGGAATGTTTTAGATTGAATGTCTAGTTGATTTTTTTTTATTTTTTATTTTTTATTTTTTGTAAAAAGAGGTAAGTCAAATCTTTTATTTTTATTTTATACCAACATATTTTGAAGTCAATTGAACTACTACTTTATATAAATTAATCTAATTATTAGATTTTAGAAGAATATTATCATAATAAAGTATTTTTTTTAAAAGAATTTGAAAATAAATATGGAAGTAATTCCAAATAGAGCTATAAAATAGTAGATTGTGGTGTGTGGATATTGCTTCTTTTAAAGTGAAAGGAGTTATTGGGCCTTTATGTAGATTTTTGACATCATGAAGATTGTCTAAGAAAAAATTGCAATTTGATGGGATTGTAGGCAATTATTAATTGAAAATATTAAAGATTTCATCATAAAAAAAATTCTACTTATTATGAAAGAAAATAAGAGGATTGAACTAAAAGAATTTACATATATTTATCTATGTTTTTTTAATTTTGTTTTATTTTTTAAACTAAATATTCTCTCTATGATTTAGAATAAGTAATCAAACCAAGTTTACTACCTAGGTTCTACAAGCAATAAATTTTGCATTCATCAATCTATTGAATACATTATTCTATTAAATATTTGCTTAACTTGATTGAAATGCTACTAACAATCATTCAAAAAAAAAGCTTTAGCAGCTTTTTTTAAATCAATGATGCCAAGTCTTTCTTCTTCATGAGCTTCATAACAAACAAACCATATCACATTGGACCAAGTTAAGAAAATATTATTTTTTCACATCTTTTTTAATCATAGATTCAATTTTTTGAATAACCCTTACAAAAGTAATCCAAATGGCTAATATAAAAATTGAATAAGAAAAATAAAATTTTATTTACAATGATAGCTTGACTTGCCACATTGATTTTGATAGAAATAAGTAGTCTAATTTTTTTGTCATTTTATTGATCAAGATTTAATTTACATCTTACATATTGAAAGAAATATTAAAAGAAATTCTATGGAATTTACAAATAAATTAATTAAATGCCCATGTCCATCCATACTGATTTATCTATGCTGGTTTGTGAGATTTTTTAAAAATTTCTAATAAAAAACTGTAATGAACCTATAATTTTTGAAATATATAGCTAAATTAAATGACTTAATGATATTTACTATAAAAAAATATTTTCTTTGGTACTTTAGACATAAATTGTAGAATCATTAGCATATTAGCTAATAACTTATTGACTAGGTCTCTAAAAAACACAAATAGCTTGTAGACGGTAATGATAGATTGTATGCTAAATAAAAAATTTAAGAAAACTCCTTACCAAGATGAAGAAATAGTGTATCAAAGAAAAATCTTGTATCATTCTTCTTTCTACAGAACAATATTTTATAAAAGCTCTATTAATAATAATTATTGTACTTGTATCTAAGACACTAATCTTAATCATATAATAGAAGCGACTATCAAAACCAAGTTTTTTTAAGATTTAAATATAAAGTTTCAAGAAGCTTTGCCAATAACTCAAGAAAAAATGATTTCTAGAACAAAAAAAGAATTATTATAAAGTTTTGGTCCAATTTATGGTATCTTGTGTAATTAACACATTATTTAAGATAAATCTTAAAAGAAGAAATTTAATTTAGTTAAGATAAATAGCCTTTGTCTTTAGACAAAAGAATAACATGTCTTTTGATAACATTATATTATATATGAAAAGTAAATATTAGTCTTTGTAGACAAATCACTTTATAGCTTACTTTACAAATTTTTGAATTTTTTGATAATAATTTTAATATGATAATTTTTAATTATATATATATATATATATATATAATATTTTTATATTTTTTTCTGATTATTCTAAGTACATTTTGATTTTTTTTATTTCCAATATTCAAATTGATTAAGAAATACTAATATTCACCTTGAATAAGTAATCTTTTTCTACAAAAAATAATATTTATTTTTTAAATTTATAAATAAATATCCTTTGTTTAATGCATAGATGTTTATAACTCTAATAGATATTCTAGAAATACAACAAATATAATCCAAAATACTTTATTGTGCATGAAAAAATCTATATCATTAATTAAGTGTTTAATTTTTATAGAGATTAGTATGTAAACACTCCTAGCTCATGTACCATCAAGATTGCTTATGTAGCTTGAGATTGCTTTTAAAATATAAAATCTTGCATTTGGCTACAAAACATTATATCCTTCTTAGGTCGTTGATTTATATAAGTTGCACTTTTAAAAAAGAAAAATATAATATTTGAAAGAAATATTCCAGATAAAACTACAAAATTTTAATATTTTTAGAAAGTTGTTTAAATATCTCATATTATAAGATAAAATCTTTTTATTTTATAAAATTTTAAAAATAAAAGGCTTAAATATATTTTAATAATAAATGATTTTTCTTTCGGAGATTTTTAATTTTGTCTTTCTTGAGATAAAGTTCCATTCTTATTAACTTTTTTAATCCATAAAAGCAATGAAGTGAGGATTTTTGAATTGTCTAAAGATAAATTATTATTTAATGGCTCAAAATCCATGTTGTGTGAATTAAAAGGTGTCACAATATGTATTTATCATAATTATTATTTAGGTAATATAAATAGATAAAAGTAGATAAAAATAGATTAATTTTATAATATCTTTTAAAGAAGCTTTTTACACACTATTTTGACTTTACATGTATTTGTAATTGATTGGTTGATTAGAAACTTGGTCAACAAGTTAACCATGTACCACTCATGTTGATAGCTTGTATAATAAGCTAATTAGGTGGTGCCTATATGGAAAACTTGCCTTGCAAGTTAAGATACATGTTGTGCAAAGTTAACACGTTTTAGAGGTCCTATAGAATAACACTATATAGCTCTTAAATAAAAAATATACATAGATAGAAGAATGAAGACTTCTTTACTCTTGTTAATTCATTTCTTGCTTCTAGTCTAGTTTCAAGAATCTATAGTTTTCTTATCTTTTGGCAATAGACATTTTAATTTCTTTTTAATATACATACTTCTTTATTTCTAGTTTTTTATATTTCTTTGAAAAAGTCTCACTTATTTATTTGCTTTCATCGAGTTCTTATCATTGATAGATTGAGAAGAGTATACTTACAATATCAGAGCTTTGTCTTTTCTTGATTAAGAGAAGATCACTCTTTTCTCTTGATAAGACATAAGCATATCAGAAGTTGCAGATTGTTCTCTTCTAAAATAATATTTTTTTTAGTATTTCCTTTGTTCTCAAGTTTCATTTTTTATTTTTTATTTTTTTATTTTTTTATTTTTTTATCTTAAGAAATATTAGCCATCTCTTTTCTTCTAAAAATTATTTTGGCAGAGCTTGTCAAAATGAAGAATGTAATGGCACAAATGCAAGAAAAATTGAAGAAATTAATACTTACCAAACATCAACTCAACTTACTACCACAAAAAAGAATAAAAATGAAAAAAAATAGAAATATAGAGACGATTAGAAGTGCTTTAATATCTATACCAAATCATATCTATTTTTCTGTAATAGAACATCATTCAAGTACTAAAGAATTAAAATTTGTCTTATTTCAAAAGTTTGATGGTACAAGATCAAAGTTTCAAGGATTCATCAATCAAGTACAATTGACAATTGAACTTTAATCCTAAGATCTTAAGATCGATTTATTAAAATACCACTTTTTGATTTTGTATTATCATTGTTTTTATCTTTTTT